CTTTTCTTGCCTGCAATGAAACTTAGAACTTATACACATATATATAACAATTAATTCAAACTTTGTAACACACAAGTTAGCATACCATTGCTCTTTCTTTGTATATTTTCTGTTTTCCAACCACAGCAGATTGGGATGGATTCCTTCTCATAGGGGTTTTCTTCTTTTTGACTTGTGTGGAGGCATAGCTTCTTGATTGTCCAACATCAACTGCATGATGAAGCTCATTTTCAGGAGGGCAAGATGTGGCCTTGGTTCTTGGCCTTCCTATTTTTCTCTGCAGTCTAGGTACAATATAAGTTGTTATCAAAACATGACACAATGCAATTTAAAAAGAATAAACTGAATGAATAAATACTCACCTTATGTGGCCTTGGTGCAGTCTCATTTTTACAAGATCTTTTGTTATGTCCAATCTGCAAGCATTTTTGGCACCTCATCTGCAAGCCAAACCTCTTCAGTTTTGAAACACACTTAGTTTCTTCTTCAAGTGCCTTCTTCCTTTCCAATTTGGGTCTACCTGGCATTCTCTTATATGGAGGGGGTTTCACCATAGTCCCAGTGGTAGAAGGCCACATTTTCTTCCCATTGATGGGTTCAAGTGCATATGAGTATGCTCCTATATATCTCTTTGTCCTAAAGTAGGGATTCACAAACTCTGAAACATCCCTTTTGAGATAGAGTATTGCTGAACAAGCATGTATATAGGGAATGCCAGAAATATCCCACTCTCTACATGTGCAACTGAAAGCCCTCAGATCAACAACAAACTGATCATCATATATAGCAACCTGAAACTTATCACCCACTGCAGGTTTAGCGACACACAACCTACTTTTAAACTTAGCATCCTCAACTTTCTTCCTTATCCTAGAACATATGACATCAATACACCCACCACCTGCCATCAACTTTTGGTTATGCCTTACCATTACAAATGTTCTAATGAGTTCCAACACCTCAACTATGGGTTTTTTCCTAGCCTTTACTATTGTGCTATTGAAAGTTTCACATGCATTATTCAAAATCATATCACATCTAGGCATGTCCATTATAAAAGCCTTACAAAATCTAAAAGTTTCTTTTTTCAAAAGATTCTTACATGCATCAGGGTCTTGAGCATTCAAATCATCAATAGCTTCTTTGTAAGCTACCTTAGAGGTGCTGTTCACAACTTTCCAGTAAAGGTCTTTTAGTGCTTTCCCAGGGTGATTCTTTTTTCAATTCATGTATACATGTCTTGCACAGTTCCTGTGCTCTGCATGTGGTGTCAGTTCTATAATGGAAGCAATAAGTCCCTACATTTTGAACAAGGTAAAAAATCAGTAAAACAATATGGTTTAGTTATGGTAGGAAATTATTAAGAACACAAAAAAATTGCTAACCTTCTGCTGATCACTAATAAAGGTCCAACCTAGCCCATCCCCAATTCTTAGCTCATCGAACAATATCTCCAAGAACCACTTCCAATTTTGTTCATTTTCTGAGTCTGCCACAGCCCAAGCTATAGAGAATATTTGGTTATTACCATCTTTACCAATGGCACATAACAAAACACCTCTCACACATGTCTTAAGGAAACAACTATCAAACCCAATCACAGGCCTACATCCTTCCAAGAAACCCTGCCTTAATGAACTGAATCCAACAAAAAAACCCTTAAAAACACTACCAGCTGCCAACAATAGTTTAAACCTGCCACTCCTATCAACCCTTTGTAACTCTGCAATGTAGCTCCTCAAGCAACCATAATGCTCTTTTTCTATTCCTCTAAGCATCTCTAGAGCCTTATACTTGCCTCTGTACATTTTCTATCTAGATGGATGCACTGCATATTTGTCAAGAATTTGCTCTTCTAGATCACTTACCTTCATCATTGTCTTCTAGATCACCTACCTTCATCCTTGGTTTTTTTCTAAACTTCTCCAAGAACTCTTTTGCCACCCAACTTGATGATGCCTGCCTAGTGTTCATGTCCCTATGACACTTGTGTTCTGACACTAGTGCTTTATTTGCAACCATCCCTTATGCTTTTACCAAACTAGCATACAATTTCCAAGGACAACCATCTGTACACCTAGCTTCAACTTGTTTTTCACTACTTCTTATAAATTGAATATTTAAGCCATTATAAACAACATGACTTTGTATTGCATCTTTGCACTAGGCAAGACTGACAAACCTCATCCCAAGAACAAACTGTATGGTCTTTTTATCACACTGAGGATCATAAACTACACACTTCTTCTTTGGCTTGCAAACAATATCACTATCATCTGAGCCATCAAAACTCTCTTCATCACTGTTTATTGAATTATCACTATCATCTGAGTAATCACCACTCTTATAGTTTATGATAATTTCCTCTGTATCAGCTAATGAATCATCTTGGGCATTTATATGTCTCTCTCTCCTGGCAGACAGATACTCTTAATCATTTGTTCGTAAATCACCTACAGACAACCCATCATCACTAGAACTATCTCCAGATGGTTCATAGTCTATATCTGTGAAGTCATTAGCATCTTTCTGTACATCTCCAACATTCTCCTGAACTCCTTCATTTGATGCACTGCCACAGGGAACATCATTCTGACCCACATCCACATACACAGAAACATATTTCTCTCCACTATGTACTAAACTTAACATGCTCATCACCTCAACATCATTATGTATTTCTATAAATTCATTTGAATATGAAAGCTTATAACAGACTTTCATCCACTCTTTGTAACCAAGTTTCTGTATTTCTTTTTCAAGGTCAAGGGACCCAAATCTATCAGGGTCTAACTTGTGAATTGAATATATCTCACCTAAAAAATAATCAACAGACCCAGCAAGATTGATAAATTTCCCCCCATGATTCAAATAAATACTGAAATTGTTACTGCAATTAGCAAAAAAGACATATTTTCAGAAATTCTAATAAAAGCCAATCAGAATACGAACATCATTAAACATGAAATCATTTAATTTCAGAATCCCCCTTTCAAATACGCTTATGACATACAACATTTCAATTCAAAATGACCCTAAATATTGCGACGCCTATATGCAAGAGTACAGTTGTTCGATAACCTAGATGCAAGAGTATAAAATACTTATCAATGAAATTTGACAGCAACAAAACCTAAATGCAAGAGTACCTGTTCGCCATTACTGTGACAAGCTTCTTGGATCAGTGGCCACAAGAGAACATCTTTTCTCGATCGACAATTTTTCAATTTAGGGTTCTTAGTCGACTGATTTTGAATTTGGAGCTGGCATTAATTTTGATTTTATGGCAAAAATCGGATTTTATACACATATAGAAGTTGATGTGGCATTTTCTTTTTCTCGTTTTTTTTTTCTGGACTTCCACTTGTGTTTCTGAGTTCCACGTAAGTTTCCGACGATGCCATGTAAGAAAGCATCTGCCGGTTTCCGTTTGTCATGCTTCGATTTGCCGAATGATTAAAGCTGGTGTACTTAGTTGCAAACTTTGAAAGGTGGTGATTAAATTGCAAAAATTTGAAAGGTGGTGAATTTTCATGCAATTTTGCCTTATAATAAATTTAATATTTTTCATCAAATTCATGATCTCTCAAACTTACAACTATTACAGTATTTATTATATTTTATGTAATCAATATAGTGACTGATATGCTATCAAATAGTTACGTACTATTTATTTAACCAATGATGAAATTTTAAAACATAATACCATTATCTAACTTATAATTTTAATATAATATGTATAAATATAACTTATAATACTCTATGTTTAAAATTAAATACTATTATTTAACTTATAATTTTATTATATACGCATATAAATAACTTATAATCCTTTATTTATATATATGCAAATACACAAGGTCGAGTACTAGTAAAAATAAAAATAAAATATTGATAGCTTGTTTGCAGGATCATTTACTCATGGGAAATTTTTATTTATGCTATGTGATTTTAAATTAATTACAACTTTACCATAGAAGTTGAAATAATTATGTTTCTACCTAAAAGACCTTATTTATCTATATTAATGCCTAAAGTCAGTTACCATATCCTTCCCACCTCCATCCCCCTTTTTATGGGCATGATTAAGAGAGAGAAAATAACTGACTCGTTTAATTCCTTAATTCGCGCAACTTGAATTCCTTAATTCACGCAGCTGTCAGGTGGTATATATTGGGTTTATGTTAGTATATTTTCATTATATGTTGCAATGAAAAACATGTTTTCTATCAAAAAATTATGTCTTCCTATTTTTTCGAAAAGAAAGAAACACACGCCGCCGAGCAGAATTTTTTCGAAAATCAGTCGACCGACGGTCTTCATTCAGAATTTTTACGTGATCTCGAGTGTATATCTTAGGTATATTTTATGTATATGTGGGTTCTAAAATCGATTTTGAGAAACGATTGAAACTCGAGTGTATATTTAAAGTATATTTTATGTATATGTGGTGTCGCGGATTTGAATTACGTGAATCTCGAGTGTGTATTTTATGCATATTTTATGTATATTCTACGTATATTTTATGTATATGTGTGTTGTACAACTTTGGTATATACCCGCAACGTGTAAATTTTCATATCTGATGGTAACATGTAAATCATGTACAGAATTTTCATACCCGAAACATACATATTGTCATACCGAAACATATACTGAAAATATACTATATATACCCACAACATATACCCGCAATATGTACAGAATAGAACTATCTATCAACAAATCAAGCACACCAAGTGTTCGACAATTACCCTCTGAGAAGATTTTCGTCAAAACAGATAGAAAAAATTATATATTTAACATATACTGTACATATACCCATCATATACTGTACATATATCACAATACAACACAAACGACAGAGGCGCGATCGATCTTTTTCTTAAGAAAAGTAACGTAAATAGACCAAAAAAAAAAAAAAACACTTGACTGGTCGATTAAAATAAAAAGGTCCCACGATCCGGCGGTTCAAATTTGCCTCCTGCCCACTGAGGAGCATGGTCCGGTCCTCGCACCTCAGTCGCTTCACGCCTATCGTGAGCCGAAATATTCTAGGGCACATTCCCTTCTCCGCCGCTCCCTCCGTGCTCGCTGATTTTACCGACATCCTCCCATCCTCGCCCGGATTAGCCGTGTAGCTAGACATCGGACTGTATATATTGCCGCAAAAGGCCCCTCAGCCGATTCAATTCCTCGCTCATCTACGAATTCTCTCTCCTGAGCCTATCGTTCTCTTCCAGTATCTCCGGCGACCTTAAGTTCTCTGCTTGGCCGATAGAAGAACGAATTACGGAGGCGGTAGTAATGATCCAAAAGAAAGAGAAAGTTAATTCCTTGAAAAATGTTCATGAAAATAAAACTCCTTTATGGCCACCGCCCACGAAGTAATGAGATCATGAAACAAAGATTATGAAAATAAAAGGAAATAGAAGGAAGTTAAGGCATAAAATCTCATTAAATCCGTCTCTTTCCCTAATTAAAGGATAAGCTTACTTAAATTTGAATTCTAGTGTATGTGTAATTATTTTAGGGTGATTTTGTATCTTTGTAAATAAATATCAATTAAATGTACATGTGCAATATAAAATATATTTAATAGTATGGGGTGTAAATTCCTCTTTACTCATTCTCTATGGGAGGATAAGCCCAACTAAAGCCCACTACAAGCAAGTGTATGATGCAAGCCCAATATTACAACAAAAAAGCCCTTGGAGCTCCAAACCGTATATATTACTGGTGCTCGATAGCTAGGGTTTTGGCTGAGCGCATTTGTGTGTAACGAAGTATAAAGAGCTTGTTTCAGTCCTCTACGAGCTCAGCCATGGCCGTCGGGTACTCCTTCTCTGTCGTTCTTCCAGATTTACTGATACGTTGCCTCTATGCTAATGCTAATTATCCCGTATACATTGTTTATTTTTTCCATTGTAGCTCTATTGCGTTTTCTTATTTTGATATTTATTCTTTTTATTTCTCGATCTCCCGCAGAAAAAACAAGAGGATTTCGAAGGGGAAGAAGGGAGGCAAGAAGAAAGCGTGAGTGTTTCATAGTTTGATCAAATATAAAGTTATCAGTTCTCATTCGACTGTGTTGGTTAAATTTATAATTACCATTGTTTGGTAATTTGAATCTGTGTGATGTTTATCATAGAGCTGACCCCTTTGCTAAGAAGGACTGGTATGATATCAAGGCGCCGTCTATTTTCAACACCAGAAACGTGGGCAAAACTCTAGTTACTCGTACTCAGGGAACTAAGGTACTTTGCTGAAAATGTTGTCAGTTTTGCTTAATGTTTTGTTTAGTATTTGATCAGTTATCTAGTAACTTATTCACTTGATATAAAGTTTTATTTTGAATTATGTGGATTCGTAATGCTCTGTTTGGATCTTCAGTATGGGAAATGATTGATTTAAAATAAAAAATTATCTTGTGGGAGTTGTGCAGGTTCTTCTCCCTCTTCCTAATGTCTGATTCCTAAGGTGTAATGTGATGAATGTGAACTTTCTATCTGTTATAATACATCCCTGACTATAACCTGTCTTGAAAAGTTATGTGTCTTATGTGTTACTCAGCAGATTATTACTCCAGATGTAACAGAGTATTCTTTGAAAGAGAACTTGAGGAATTGTTAACTGAACAACAGTCAACAGAATCCTGAGATGCTTGTGTAGTTTTGTACATTTAGTGGGTCATATATGTTAAAGCTGTAACATAATGATTATTGATTAGGCTCATGCTTATAGAGTATAGACATGTTTTTGTCAACAGTGTATATTGGTCGATGTTTTCGTAGTCATTTGTTTATCATACTAAAAAAAAATGTTTTTTATTAGATTGCTTCAGAAGGGCTCAAGCACCGTGTGTTTGAGGTGTCCTTGGCTGACTTGCAAAAGGATGAAGATCACTCCTTCAGGAAGATTCGTTTGAGAGCTGAAGATGTTCAGGGCAAGAATGTTCTCACAAACTTCTGGGTAAATGGAATGCAAAAGCATCTAATTTTCCCCGTACTTTCTTGTCCCTGTATTTATTTTGTTTGTTACTGTTTGCTTAATTGGGTTGTTTTGCTTACTTGCAGGGCATGGATTTCACCACTGACAAACTGAGATCACTCGTGAGGAAATGGCAGTCACTAATTGAGGCACATGTTGATGTCAAGACAACCGACAACTACACTCTGAGGTTGTTCTGCATTGCCTTCACTAAGAAGCGTGTGAACCAGCAGAAGAGGACATGCTATGCACAGTCTAGCCAGATTCGTCAGGTATATATTCTTCTAGGGGGTGGGGGAAGAGTAACACTATTTATTTAATTTTTATTTTTTAAAATTATTCTCCCAATTTGCTGATTTGTTTTTGGTTAGATCCGGAGGAAGATGAGGGAGATCATGGTGAACCAAGCACAATCTTGTGTTCTAAGTGAATTGGTTCAGAAGTTCATTCCGGAGTCGATTGGCAAAGAGATTGAGAAGGCAACTCAAAGCATCTACCCTCTGCAGAATGTGTATATCAGGAAAGTCAAGATCTTGAAAGCTCCCAAATTCGACCTTGGCAGGCTTATGGATGTAAGTTTCAACGATTGCTTTTTTATTTTTAATAATTATTATTTTATTCTCCAAGGAGCAATTTGGGCGCACCTACTTTACCTCTTATCCTATCTCCATCTTATGCTTTATTTAAATTCTGTTAACAGAGTACAAAACTGAAATTTATTCAAAATTGTATTTTTCTAGGAAAATTTAAAGGATTTATAAGCTGCTCATCTTAAGATGTCTTGGAGGGTCTTCCGAACACCCTTTATTGTCTTTAGGCACTCTGTGTAACCTTGATACTTTGTCTAGAATTCTAATCTTTGACAAGTTATTTCCCCTGATAATCTTGGAAATTGCAAAGCTGCTCGATTTTAATTTGTGTTCGTGGCTGCAATTTGTAGGTTCATGGCGATTCTAATGAAGAGATTGGTGTGAAGTTGGAAAGGCCGGCCGAGGAGCCAATGGCTGAGGCTACTGAAGTTGTTGGTGCCTAGAATTGGTTACATTCACAAGTTCAGAGATGTCCTATCCAGTTATATGTACCCAGTTTTGTGGAGAGATTCAGAAACTGATTTTTCTTTCTATTATAGATATTTGGTAATGAGTCTTTTGTTTAATTTTTTTGGTTAAATTGCACCGTGAATTTTGTTTCCATTATGAGTAACTTCAAGTTTCACCCTGCTTGATTATAACGGGAGATTCTTCTTTCTGGCTATTAAAATTAAATACCCGTCTTCAATTTATTTCGATATTATGGCACCATTTTCTGGCGAAAAGTGATATTACGGGATTAGGAAAGAAAATGATGAAGATTGGAATTGTCGTAGGCAGTCATCACATATCATTTATCGGACTATTTTGTATATTGAGTTGTATTTTAATTTATTTTTTTAGAAAATTACCTTATGAACTAAATGAATCATAAAATACTTCATATACACTTAATATTTTATTAACCAAACTATGTAAACCGCCCAAAGTATTTTCACATCTACAAATATGCATATATACATCTTATTACTTCATCTTCAAAAGGTATTTACACCACTCTATTACATCATCAATGTGAAATAAGTATAATCTCAGCACTATACCTCTTACTTTCATATTCCAAAGCTTAAATAGATATGGATAATTTACTCCAAATTTTAATTCAATTAAGAAAACTCTACATTTTCCTTATTCGTAATTATTTTTATTCTAAAAGTGTACATACTCTTGTATGTAAACTCTACTTAAATATCCAACAACTGCAACCATTTCTTAAAACTATTTCATAATTTATACAGACATTCACAAATAGCACAGAAAAGCAATGATCCAAAGAACTAGAAACAACACAAGCAGATAGTTACAATCAAATGAAAAGCTAATCCTCAACATTCCTTGATTATTCAAATGACAGAAGTCTTATATCCAAACTAAAGCGTGAATCAGATAATCCTACCAAACATCATACACAATAATCTGTTCGGCCAAATCCAAACACACATGGTCTTTCAATAACTCAAGAACCGTTCGCATTTCTACTCGTCGACTGCTTAAAACATCCAAAACGAGGACTTTTCTTTTGCCTACCGCTGTTTTTCCTCCCATTATCAATAAAGTGCCGCAAAATTATAGCTCTGCTCTTAAGGAACTTATTTTTCCCCTTACTCTTCTTCTCGTCTTCCATTCTCAACAGCACATACTGAACTTTCTGAAGCCCCAACTGCAGACGTTCGATTCTCTCAGACCCCTTTTCAGCCTGCTCGACAACTTTCATTCTCCACATTGTCAAAGCCTCAGTCAATTCATCTTTCGGACAATATTCAATGTTTTTCACAAGTTGACCGTTCAAATCCACCAAATGGACGATACTGTCCTCCGCTTCCTGCAACTGCTCATGAACAGCCTGAAAATCGGCATTTCTAACCTTTCGCCTTTTTTTGTTCGTCTCCATTTTCCTTCTCAAGCTTTCTAATGTCTGCCTCAGAATTTTGAGTTTTTGGGAATCTGAGGAGAGATGTTCGAGGATCTTCGCGTCGTTAGGCTCGATTTTTCTTGCAAACGGCTTCAAACTATCCACAGCCAACTCTTTCACATTTTCATACCCATCATGCAGTGTATTATTATAATAATCATCCCTAATCTTCAATTTATTACCAACTTCGGCAGTTTCCCACAATTCGAGCATTGGATCATCAGATTCGGCTTTACTGTTGTTTTTCTTCCGTGTTCCGCGTCTTGAACTGTTATTAGAGACTTGATCGAGAGGAATATCCTTCATGAATGCTGAATTTCGGCTCTCGGAGCTTTTGGATTTTGATCGAGAGGAATATCCTCTCTGCACAGAGGGTATATATGTTTCTTCAATCATCTTTCCAACTGCTTTCACTCTCATCTGTAAGTTTTGCAAGCTGAGAAGGGACTGATCTTCCGGAAGAATATGAGAAGCTTCTTGACTGGGATGAGGTGAAATCTCAAAATGCTGTAAGGATGGAAAAGTTTGAAGGATTATGCTTCAGTGGAATCATATTTGATATGCTTTTACCCTGAAAATAACTTTTACTATATAGCATATAACTGACAGAAAAGAGGCAATGATAGTTTTAGTTGTAGTTCGAGAAATCTAAACAATATCTAAAAGTATTATAATTATTATTATTTAAGTGGATTATTGATGATATTTCAACTGCCAAAGACTTGGTTTCTCAACAAAAAATACTTGCTGAAACTCCAAAAGCTGCTTTATATAAAAAAAAAAGAATCATCTAGTGCAGTCAACTTTGATTTCACGGCTAATAAAAGAATTTTGAATTCCAGCAAAAAACAAGGTGAAAATATCTCAAACTGTCAGATGCTAGGGAAACAAAGCAAATATCAGTTTGCTCTTAAACCTTAAAAGGAAATATACTTGCTGCAAGCACAATCTTCATTGTTTTTGTCCAAAATACTGATTGAGCAAAATAGTTGACATGCTAACTCAGAAAACATATAGAGAAGACAAAACAAAATAATCTCGCTTCAGATAATAAGAATTTAGAGCATTACCTCTGTCTCTTGACTATATGCCTCTTTAAGCTTCATGTGAAGTAAGGCATTATGCTCAAGAATTGCTATATCTTCTCTAAGTGAAGCTATAACAGGAGCATACGAATGCAGATGGGACTTCAATCCACAAACTTCATTTTCCATGGAACAAATCTTCCCCTTCGTTCTTTCAATCTCCAAAATTTTCGCCTCATGCTCATGCTCGAGGGACTCACACATGCCACTAAGTTTTTCCACCTTATCTTTCAACAAAACCTCATTAATCGAGGAGACTTGAAGATCAAAACAAAAAGCCGATGCCTCCGCTTCCCACAGTTCAAATTCGTTGCTTACTTCCTCAAGCTCGTTACTTAGAGTCTGCTCTCGAACTGCATTTTCTTCCACTTCTTGATGAAGGAAAACGAGTTCAGATTCTAAATTTTCATTGGCCATATGAAGACTCTCAATTTCCTTCTTCTGAGTGGAATTATTTGTAGCCAGCTTGAGCACGTTCTTTTCTAGATTTTTCCTTATCTCGAAGGACTCGTGAATGTCAGCCTTGAGCTCATCCACTGTTTGGTACAAGTGTGAGTTTGATTTTTCAGCTGCTTCAAGCTCCAACTCTGTATACAAGAGCTTTGCTTCAGTATGTCTTAAACTCTCTTTGCTGTTTATTATTTCTTCATTCATATTTACGTTACATTCCTTGATTTCTTGAGTCTCTCTCTCCAATCCACAGATTACGTCTTTAAGGACTAAATTTTCGGCCTCTTGCAACTCTAGTTTCTCTCTCAAGGCATTCATTTCCTCTTCAAGACTCGTGCTGACATCATGTTGCCTTTTCAGATCTTCAAGAATTGATTTCAATTCTACAATTTTCTCTCTCCCGAAACTCCTTAAAAATCTGGTTTCGTTATCAGCGGCTATGAGCTCCAGAAGATTTGCTTCATTTTGCTGATCGACCCGAAACTTCTCCTCTTTTAGTTCACAAAATTTCTTCAGCAAATGCGTATTTTCCTCGTTCACTCGAGAATACGAATCTTGTAACAAATTGTAAGATTTCTGCAAATAAGATTGTTTAAGACAAAGACTCTCCAACTCAGCTTGAAAGATGGAAGCTTCTTCAAGACCTCCAGCCACATCAGCTTTTAACACCTTGTTCATCTCTAGAAGCTCTTCTTTTTCTTTTTCGGCAGAAAAAAGTTTCTTGGCCATTATTTTTGACTCCCGATCTAAAAGTACCTTATGCGACTCGATTTCACTACCCTTTTTCTCCAACTGCTCGAGTAGAGCTAGTAGAACTGAGTTCTCGACAAAAAGCTGCTGCTTTTCATCCTCATTTGTCGAAACACAACTTTTTAAATCTTCAATGCTGCCGAAAATATGATGCAAAAAAGTTTGTTCATATTCGACCTCACTCTCCTCAATAACACAGTCAGGCTCAGGACTGTTTTCCAAGCTTTTGAAAATTCGATATATGCTCAATCTCAATCTCTGGATCCCTTCTAATAGGAGCTCAGCTTCCATTTGCTGCTCGAGACTTTCACCCTCGAGCTCAGATATCAATTTCTCTGCCAATTTCGATGCCTCTACGTGCTTTTGACACTCAATAATGAGAGCACAGTTTTTGTCCTCCATATCTTGTATAAATTTGTGCAAGATGGAAATCTCAAACTGTGCTTTTAATGATTTGTCTAGTTCCTCCTCGGATTCTTTCTTTTTCCATCTATTTTCCTCCTGCAAGAAATGGATAATGTTTTCGAGCCCAGCCAATCTCATCTCACTTTTGATCTGAGAACATTTTCTTTCTTGCTTTTCCTCACATAAAGAAACCTTAAGTTTCTCAACTTCACAGTGCATGGCTTCCTTTTCCCTCTCGAGATTGGTGAAATTTAATTCCAGACCCGTAAACTGATTCTCGAGGCATTTCAACTTTTGGTCAACATTTTCCAACTTCAAAACTAAGGTATCCCTTTCAGAAACAAGGAAAGACCTTTCGTTCTTAAGAAGTTGGCATATTTCTTCAATTGCCTTCGACTTTTCCCTCAAACCTTGAAGCTCCATTTTTGCCGCGGACAGTGAATCCTCCAAAACAGCATTTTTACCCAATAAATTCTGCATGTTCTCAGTCATAGCATGCAGCTGAGACAAAATAGAAGCCTTCTCGGCAAAAAGATTGGCATTTTCTCCCCGTAGAAGGTCGCTCGATTCTTGCAATTCCTTCACCTTCCCAAGCGAGATTGCCAGCTCAGCATTCAAATCCGATAGGGAGCTTTCGACAATCACTTTTTTCTTTAATTTTTCTTCGATTTCCTCCAACTTCTTAGAGAGAAGTGCTTTCTCGATATTTTCCTGCTCACAATTCTGTCTAAGTGTCGTGTTTTGATCACGCAAGCTCTTAATTGAATCCTCAACACATTTTGGGTTCAAACCAGTTGCTTCGACTTGCTGGACTACTTCTCGGTAATTTTGGTTCAACCCCACAATTTCCTGTTTCAAGCAAAAAATCTCTTCCTGAAGAGAAAGAGTTACCTCCACGTGGCGCGATACCTCGTTTTCAAGTCTCCCCCTCATCTCTTTTAATCCACGAATTTCATTCTGCATGTTCTCCACTGAAATAGATGAAGACTCAATAGTTTGGCTCAAACTGCAATTTTCATCTCTAACCTTCTCAATTTCCACTTCCAACACATTTTTGCAAGCTTCCACGTCTTTTAGCATTTGAACCACATTATTAAGCTCCGAGACTAGAGCCTTCTGATAGTCTTGAGATTGGGAGTGTAAATTCTGAAGATTCTCCAGAGTGGCTTCGACTTTCACGTGCCGCGAGTGCTCGTCTTTCAAACACATCTCGATTTTGTCCAACTCCTCCTGCTTTTTCACGAGTTCTTGATCTTTAATCGTGATTTTTTTCACCAAAAGATCAGCCTCGATCCGTAAAGATTTATTAGATGTCTCCACGAATGCACACTTGTTTTCGGCGGTTTTTAACCTCTCGTTTTCGAACATGACTTCTTTATTAAGCCGTTCGATGCTGGTTTTTGCAGTGGACAAATCTTTATTGAGGTTGGATATTTTCTCCAAGCACCGCTTGTACTCGAGAGCCATATCTTCTTTCTCCTTGTTCAAATTGGCAAAAGCCATTTTCAGTTCAAAGACTTCATTTTCAGATTTTTCCGCTCGCTGCTTAAGCAATGCAGCTTTTTTTTCATTACTCGATATTATTTTTTCAACATCTGATATTTTCTTGAGACACTGTTTGTACTGATTAACCACCATTTCCCTTTCCAGTTCCAATCTCGAAACTTCGTCTTTCAATTCTCGAGCTTCGCTTTCTGCTTCACACGCTCGGCTGTCGAGTCCCTTCATTTCGTCTTGATATCGAGAAGCCATAGCCTCCAGACGAGAGATTTGCTCCAAATAATCGTTTTGTTTGATCATCTGAGCAATTTTCTCGACTTCAAACTGTACAAGTGCTTCCTTCAGAGTTTGGACCTCGATTTCAGCTCGACTGGCTTTCTCTTCGAGCCCATTCGAGTCGTTTTGCGCGTTATTCAGCTCATTCTCGACTTCAGATAACTTCTCAAGACACTTTTTATACTCACTGAGAACCTCTTCTGTTTCAGTTTTCATATCTGCAAGTGCTTTCTTTAGGCATTCAACTTCATTTTCAGCATTTTTCGCTTTCTCGTTCTCATTAAGAACCTTATCTTCAAGATTCTGATTGAATAATGCGTGTGAAGGTGAGTTGTCCTCAACAAGTTCAAAAGGCACTACTTCATTTGGAAATGCTTTTTCCATGGTTTGCTGGGCATGCCTGAGCTCGCCAGTCGCATGATTATACCTTTCGGCTAGAGCTCGATAAGCTCGGTAGAACTCTTCCACAAGTTTCATTAATTCAGGCCGTTTTTTGTAGTACATCTCTGCCCGTCTAGCAAACGAGTCCGCATCTTCTTCAATTAGCTTGATCATGGATTTGACTTTGCCATCAATATCTGTTTAGGTGTTTTTTTAAAAAAAAAAAAATAGTGACAAAACCCAGCCAAGTAAGTTAACAAGTGAGTATGATTCTAAGCAATCAAAGCAAAAATGTCAAAAATATAAGCCAAAAATCTTTTCAAAATGGAAAAACTCATCTGAAGTTACAATGTAGAAAACCCAGCCAAATTTGAAAATTACAAAAACCACTCCTTCAGGTTTATATCCATCTTATACGGTCAACGCCATCATATATTATACAATTTCATCTCTGAACTTCTCTAAATATCACAAACACCCCTTAACTTCTAAAAAATGCTACAAATAATCACAAGGAAAGTTGGCACATCCATAATTATCCCTAAATAATGCACGGCTATCATGGGAAGATTAATTTTAATTCAAGCAAAACCAAAGCCAGTAAACTGATTCGTATGAGAGAATGATAACGAAAGAACGCAAAACTATATAAGAAGTGGCACAATCAATAAATGACGCAAATAAACCGATTCAAGAAAAAAATAAACGACCTGTAAGATTATCTTGAAGCCATTTTGAGTTCTTTGGTGTGTTGTGGCTGTCCCACCACCAAGAATACATGCGACTTGACTCTGAATGTGATATGTTGGCCATAACTCCAGCTATGAACAGAAAACCAATTCCCTTTGTGAAACCCAGATTTTTACACCACTAATGCCACAAATTGCACTATCTAAAACAACAAGCAACAGAAACGAGTAAAAATCTTAATAAGATCTAATGAAGATAAGTTATCAAAAATATGTAACAAGTTGTGACATGGTCATGCAAACATGCTCTCATATCTTTTCAATAAATATCTAAAAGTGAAAGCTCTTTTCTTCCTCAGGCCCCATATATATGATGCCTACAGCTAAGTATGCTTAAAAAGGACTCTGATGAAAGAAGTATTAACAGATATTCAAGAAAGAAAATGGGCTTTGATTAACAGCTGATGTCATGATCTCAACTTGTTCTTGTACATCTTTACATGAAAAAAACATATTATGGCAGAATAAAAAAGAAACTATA